TTAGACTTTCATCTCCTTGATCTTGGCCTTTTCAAGCTTAAGCTGGGCTGCCTGTGATTTATGTCCCATGATTCCTCCTCCCCAATGTTTGCGGATCTCATCAAATCTCTCATTGTAGTTTGTTTTAACAGCTTCACAGAGGTTGGCAAAGTTATTCTTGTCCTCTGGGCGCACAGCTGTGAAACAAAGTGCTGTGGCTGTCTTCTTGTGAACCACCTTACCCAATCTAGCCATTCAAATAATAAGTACAATGAGAACTGACCCTCAACAACTTACCAAGTATAAAAGCACATCCTTCCTAGCCTAGCAACTGAACAGGAGCAATTTGCATAAAACACACTGCTGGACATAACTGCTAACATCTAATGCTAAAATCAATAGACTGAGTGAGATAAATGCCAGGTGCTAATTGATCCAGATCATTACTTCTGGGAAGTCACCACCAACTGGTAAGTGCTTTAGAATCTATGATTCCAACCCAGAAACAACAGATACAATCCTGGCATTTCCCATGCACATGAACTGTTTTCTTTCCTAAGTGCTTAAGTGTGACAAGTGTTTTGCAGTGACAATAACAGGATTACAAAATGCATCATAACAACTAACCAAGCACTCAGTTTGCTATGAAAACTTAAGTATGTAAGATACAAAAGTTGCATGGTAAATTAAATGTGTATTTCCCTCCTGAAACGGTGTGCTGCATTCTCTCCCAGTCATTAAACTAACAGAAAACAACAAGAAGGCTAGGCCCCAGTTGATGTCTGAACAGAAAACTAACACTGTAGCAGATACTTAAAACCAAAAGCATACTAGAACAGACCACAACCAACATCATCACTGACCTTGCTTTGCCCTTCACGATGCAGTATGGAACACCCATCTTTCTGCACAGAGCTGGAAGCCATACAACAAGCTGTAAAATAGAATCAATATATTTACTGTTGACCGAAGACAAAAAATTGAGGGTCACCTCATTCACTGCTTTATACAACACAAGATGTTTTAACGTTAACTACTAACCAACTTTAGTGAATACACTTTTTTGACAGTACCTCAATTGGGTCAACATCATGAGCAATGACGACCAGTTGTGCTTTCTTGTTTTCCACAAGAGCAGTGACATGGTTAAGACCATACTTAATCACAACTGGCTTCTTGCCAGCGGGTTCTTCCTTTCCCTCGGCTTTCTTTTCAGCTTTAGCAGTGAGACGTGCTTTCTTCTCAGCCTTTGTCTCTGGACGGTATTTGTGCATCAGTTTGAAAAGCTGAGTGGCTACAAGACAACAATCAACATCATGGGTGATAAGTCATTGTAGGATGAAAGGTTTACTGAAAACCTTCAGTATAAGGCTGTGCTCTGGAATTACCTGGTGACCTGTGGTGCTAAACTCTTGCTCCCGGGCAACTAGAAAATCTTAGACTTTTCATAGAAATCATAAACTGGGCACCCTGGATTTCACAGGTTAAGAGCACTGGACTCCCTTCAATTTTTCTTAGAGCACAGTTTTGCAGTAGAAATATCAAAACTAATGCTGTCAAACATTTCAATAACACTACAAAATATCATTTTTAGTTTCAAAATAGAATGTAACTGAAACAACCCACTCCAGCAGATAGCCATTTACAAAGGCAAAGGAGTTAAAGTTAAGCCTACCACAAACTGTGGTGGATAACTTGAGATTTCAAGTTAATGTATACATACAGTCGAAAATGATGTATGGATGGATTCATTTTTCATTTGCATTTATAAGCTGACAAGATACGAGCTGCCAAATGTCTGATTTACATACATGTACAAGGAGACGCGTACTGTATTTGGTTATGTAATTTACTTCCCCTTAACTGCAATTTAGCGCCATTTAGAGCACCTTCATTTCCGTTTTGAGGTATTTTTTATTACATAAAGCACTTCATAAGTGTCTGTTGTCTGTCTTAGAGAGGTGTCCATCTTATAGGGAGTATAGTTACAGTAAAATGACAGCAAAACAGCAGGGACCACCACTAGGTGTCCATTAAGAGAGAGTTGACTGTATGCCCATAACTACTACAGTGTACTGCTTTGTAACTTGGTTTTTGTAGAAAACAAATGTAACAAATATCCATAAGTGCATTATCATCAAAAGACAATGAGGATTTCTAAAAAAAGAGTTCCATTTGGCAACTCGCCAACATACCAGTCTGTTTGTCCAGTGTCTGTGTAAACTGGTTAATTGAAGGTGGAACTTTCAAACGTTGATAAAGAATGGTCTTCTGCCTTTGCAATCTGATGTACTTTGGCCATTTGACAAATCTGCTCAAGTCACGTTTTGGCTGAATATCACCACCTAAATGTCGAGGAGGAAATAAATAATGTTTAGGAGTTATTTTGTCTCAAAGAATAAAAAAAAAATCTTTTTCACATGCTTTGTTCACAAGACTTTAAAAAAATTTTCAAACATAACCAGCACAAACAGGGCTTTAGTTTTTATGGGATGGAGCGATTTCACACAGCTTGACAAAAATACATAATTCATATAAAATACAATCAACTTCAGTAAAGATTTTCCAGATATTAAAAGTTATCTTTAGGTGATTTAACACTAACCAAAACCTTACAAGACATCTATAACCTTTGATTACCAATGTTATTTTATTCTTCTAGGATCAACTTATCTGTTAACCAAAACTTTGAAACCCAGTTTTAAAAGACTAAATGACCCTGAAGAAATTGCTCAATTTTCATAATTTATTGCATAATACACCTCTCTTACGGCATAATCTGCCCTGAAGGCAACGCTCCATGATGTACATTTTTCTATTGCACTCCATCAGACAGCCTGCACCAAGATCGAACATACAAATACATACATACACCACATAAACTTGCTCACACACACTCTCACTATCACTCAAACTCAATCTCTCTCTCTCTCTCTCTCTCTCTCTCAGACACACACACACACACAAACATGCATCTAAACATTACCCCTGCGCTGACCAAGCTCAGGGCTATTACGTCTGGGTTAGTAACTGTTTCCTAGCAACATATGGCACATGCTCAACAAAGATGTTCCTCAATTCTCGAGCCTTTTTCAAGTGCCCCAAAATTGAGCTGGCAAAAGAAAGCCTCTTCTGGTAGAATGAGGGAAAACTTAGTCATGTGGTAAGATTTGATGTTTGCTGTTTGCAATAAACATGATTCTTTATCTCTCTATTAAAAAAAGATACAATCATATGCACCCACACACGTCTGGAAACAAGAATAACCTGAACAATTTTTTTCTACAACCTCGGTAGACCAGGCAGCATTTTAGCCCGCAGCCTCAGCTCAGCAACCTACTCAATTAGTTAACCAGGCAACATTTGGTTATGTATGACCAGGCATTTCACACTATCAAATATTTAAAATCCCAACTCACCGATGCCAAAATTCCTGGGTCTCTTTTCAATAAGAGGGTTTACAACCTTTTTAGGGGCAGGTTTGGAGGTGGTATAAGGGGCAGGAGCCACCTTCTTAACCTTTCTAGTAACTTTAGGCTGAAAATAAAATAAACCAAGGCACAAGGCAAGTCAGATAATACCGTAAAACTTGCAGTACTGTATACTTCAACTACTGCGATCATCAATTAATTCACTATCTACAAAGCCTTGTTTATTCACATCATAGTTCTTGTCTATTTCCTACAATTTAAATTTGACACATATGACATCAATAGACCTATTCGGCTAACTCAATGTTGTACCCAATTCAAACCCTTTGGGAATAAAACATTTTGTTTCAAAAATTTCCACATCATTTAAATGTGAATGCCACATTATAATGCAAATACAATACACAAAGAATCTTAACCCCGGGAGATTTGAATTGGGTTCAACATTGAGTTAGCCAAATAGGTCTATTCACCTCAATTTACTTGTCACATGAACACAATACACATAAGAAGTTAGAATATTTTCAGCTAAATTCCCTTTGAAAACAAGAAATTGTCAACAACAATATCACTACCAAAGTCTGTGATGACTTTGTCACTTCATGGAAGTCTTGAAAATAAATAGGAAGCAACTCTGTGCTGTCCTCTCTTATAGAATAAATTATATTAGCATGGGTGCCCTTTTGAAGAAAAAAAAAATCAAGTATTGCTAGCCCTTTAATTACATATCGCAACCTAGTACAAGTCCTTTAAAAGTGGAACATCCGCAGGTGAGTCCACAGGAAAATAAACGTTTCACCAAAATCAATAGAGATATTTACTACAAGACATATCTTTAAAATTTGGAACACAGTGAATTCAAGGTAAAACCCCGAGATTTTCTAATCAACATATAACCATGTGTACAAAACCCACGTGAAAAGTGATGTTCTACAAATCATGAAACATGTACTGTCTGTGCCACTATGACCATAACAAAATGGGATTCACGTCCAACAATCTACACATGGGCCAGACCCAGTGAAAGCTTAAGCTAAATGTTTTGTTTTTCCGGGAATGACACCAAATCGTAATGAGATAAAAACCAACTGCGAGGTAATTTCCTATCGCAAAACTAAACAAATGCACACACAATCGCTCGAATGTCGAGAGGTAAGCAGCAAACGCAGTCCCCAGTGGATTATCATTTAACCCATAAATTCAAAAATACTTCACAACAGATATAATTCATACACCACTCTTCAGGTTATTGGTAGTTAATGTAAGGGACAACGTCGGATGGGCAAGATAGAAGATAGGTTGTATTTTCTACTTTTTCTCAGAACTTACCATCTTTTTTGATGGCGGAAAAAGAGAGGGAGCGTAAGGTCTGCCGGGAATTTTATAAGATACCCACAATGCTATGCGGCCCCTGTTCAGCTCAAAATGGTGGAATTGTAGTGATCGTTGGTGATCAAATTGATGCATGTTCTTTTACTCGAAATAAAAGGTATGATGAGGGCATTTTTCCATTTTAGCAAAATTAAGCTTTAGTCTGATTGATAGCAATTAAACTGACAGCATTGTAGTCATTTCTGAATATTATTTCAGGGAATATTCAATTCCCTTTCTTGGGACGTCTTTCGCCAGCTTTCGATTATTTTTCAGGTTTTTAATTATTTTGGGGGGAAGCCATACATTTATTGTGCAAGCATGTTTGGAGTCTGTTCATATAAACTGTTTGTGTGAGATATATATATCACTGAGTATGAGATTGCTGCTGCATGCATGTAAATAATATATGGGCGCCGGGCAAGGCGGAAATCTTACCATTATTTGTTATGTTTGGTCGTGTTATTTTATATTTACTTAAATTCTATGAGATTATAAAGATGTTTATGATCATTTTCATAAATTCTGAAAGAAAACTCCATTTTTCTTTCTTACTGAAGTTTCCCATCAAAATTGTGACCATCATAACTGATAAGCTGCCTTCTCAGTTTGTTTTAAATCTGTTTGACGCTTTCTGATTTTCTAGAGAACGCAGTGTTAGGCAATTACCTCAGGTATCCCTCTAAGTAACTATTGTAAGTCACATCATGAATGGTGTAATAATCTTGTAAGAGTTCAGTGTGAGAACAGTGTATCTCATAGTTGTGTGATTAAAATTGTGATTCTTTTAATGCCATATTTACTTAAGATCCTGGCATTACTATGTGTAATCAAATGGAGATGAGTGACATTATTCCAGTCTTATCTATTAATATCATGGGTGATGAATTACATTCGCATTCATTGATTTTTCGACGTGTTTATCCTGGTTTTATTATCAGTTGAGAACTCCATGTTCTCAAAAGTTTAGAGCTTAAATTTGGCTTAAGTTCCGAATTTTCAGATTTTTTTGCCAAAATACCTGTTAGAATCCTTCTTGATTTGCTCTTTCATGTGTTTCGGTTTTCTAAAGCATCTTTAGATGCCCTGACATCTTCATTCACAAAATTGTAAAACTTCGTCACCATCTTGGCACTGAGACATAGGGAAGGTTCCCATGGCAATTTTGTAATTTCTCGTGTGAAATTATAAATTAATGCTGAAATTTTGCACCAAAATTCATCACCCATGATATTACAATGTATAACATGAATGTGCATTGTTTTGTTGCAGCAAAATGTCACAACCAAACAGAATTTTACCTCAAAGTAAAGAGACACTACTCAAGTCCTACACCAAACGTTTGAAAGATGACGTGAAGTCGATACTGGATAACTTTACAGAAATTGTCAAATCTTCAAAGGTAATAAACTTGGCAGAGATCTGAGGTCTGAAACCTGCATGGAGGCTTTCCCTTTTGCACTGGGCATTACCCAGTCAGCAAACCATCCACCTTACTTCAATTTTCACTCAAGGTTATTTTGAAGCTAATGGTGTAAATAGCTCTCCTCTGTATTGCATCCCACTTCACAGACGTGTTTACTTCAGTCTTCTTTGTGGGTCAGAAATGTGTTTCTGTTCAGCTTTTCACCATCAAAACTTTGCCTGCTTCACTAGAGGACTGATATTCTTACCATATTTTGACCCTACTTGCTTCATACAAATGTTTGAGGATTTGTTCCAGTCTAGGNTAAACTTGACAGAGATCTGAGGTCTGAAACCTGCATGGAGGCTTCCCCTTTTGCACTGGGCATTACCCAGTCAGCAAACCATCCACCTTACTTCAATTTTCACTCAAGGTTATTTTGAAGCTAATGGTGTAAATAGCTCTCTTCTGTATTGCATCCCACTTTGCAGACGTGTTTACTTCAGTCTTCTTTGTGGGTCAGAAATGTGTTTCTGTTCAGCTTTTCACCATCAAAACTTTGCCTGCTTCACTAGAGGACTGATATTCTTACCATATTTTGACCCTACTTGCTTCATACAAATGTTTGAGGATTTGTTCCAGTCTAGGTATTTTTGGAGTCGCCATAAGGCTACTTCTTGTCTCTTCTTTTCCTTTCTTATTTGTTTTGCATGTAAACTTCTCCTAAAACTTTTCTGAGGTCTTTACTTGTTCAAAGCAGGATGATTGTGTAAACTGTGACTTAAGTCTCATAGTGATGACAACTGTGTAATAGATTTGTTTCAGTTAAGACTTAATTAAGGTCATCTTTAGTCTCCGTTTCAACATTTTCTGACAAACTTTTTTCAAGGCTTTGCTTGCTCAATTTGAAATAATCACGCAAACATTCTTAAAACTATGTGCTATGTTGGACAAAACAAAGAACACAATTTTCCTGTGACATCATCTGTGTGTCTGTACTCTACGAGATCATGGACAATGACCAACCAAACCACACATAGCATCCATTCATTACATAAATATAATCTTTTGACAAAAAGTAAGTGAATGTGTTTTCTCAAAGGTGGAAAGTGAAACTCAAGTATCAAGATTAACACAATCAACACAAGATCAGTATGAAGTAAACGTGAGAGCTGCCAACATTGTAAGTTATAAAATATTGGGTGGAGGGATACAAAAAATCGCTTGGCTTTTCCGTAGTAAGTTTCTTTCTCAAGTATAGGAATATGTTGTGCATTTTGATCATCTTCTGGAAAGCATCAAAAGAGGTTTCACTCTTTCATCTAGGGTGATTAAGTGTATTGCCAAAATACAGGGTTTTTTAGAGCCTTTTAGAATTTTTGAAAAAGTCCTGAGTCTTGGAAATTAAGATAAATTCTAGAGAAATAGGAAATGTTCTTTTTTTTATTAATTTTTTTTCAAAAGAGGAGCAAATGCCAAAATGTTTTTTTCAAAAGAGGAGCTGATGCTAAATATTTATGTCAAGTGCATTTTTTCCCATAGTCAAATTTTATTTAATCTTGACTTTAGCCAGAACATTTCAATCACAGAATGAGAATTTTAGAACTCTCTTGTGTCACTTTGCGCTGATGATGGTGGTTTCTGTATTTTTGCAGTGCATCATGGGAAAGCTTGATTCTGTTGCTCTTCTCTGTTCTTTTTTTGTAGGTAAGAGCTGGCGAGTCTCTGCAGAAACTTGTGTCCGATATGAAAGAGTTTCTCATCTTGAATGATTTTCCATCAGTGAATACCAGCATCACTGAAAGAATCAGGAAGTCAGCAATCAGACAGATCAACAACTTTTAGTTCTCAAACAAGAACTGGCTGTTAATTTATCTGATCTGGAACAAGCATACTACTCTTCTAGTTACAGATAACATTTGTATGTAGTTGCATATTACAGCTGTCCATGAACTTGAAGGCTGTAAAGAAGGTCTCCCAAAAATTCTTTTAACTGTTAGCCAATAATTGGACACCACTTTACCAGATATGACAGACCGTGGACTGATTCTTGACCTACAGTGCACCATTTGACCTTTTTGCTGTTTTTTATGTTCGACTTTTGACATGGACCAGTTGATGGACATTGACGTGGCTGGAAAGTGCGCCTATAATTGCAATAATTACTGAGTTTGAAACTTGTTGAAAACTACTGAAGATAGTTTTCCATAGTCATGAAATTTCCCAGACATTCATAATGGGGAGGATCCACCATACAAATGGCTATGGATTTTCACAACTTTGCGCAGCTATATCTTTGCTCACCTAAAACAGATTACTTTCCATTTTGGCAAGTTATTTTAAGGTGCACTTTCCAGGGGCATTGACTACTATTGCTAAGTGATTCTTATGAAAACTTGAAAATAACACATCAAAGGCTGCATTACCTAGTGTGACAGTTGGCTGAAAGATTGTTTGAGAACTGTTCTTCATAACTGCCATAACTTTTCAGGTCTATATAATTTTATACCAACAAACATAGTAAAACAAAACATTTCTTCATTTTGGTGGCTAATTTTCTGCAATAACTCAGTCGGTGATAACATTTCTTTTACCGACATAGTATGGCAGATCAAGCTTGATTTTTCAGGTCATGTTTCAACCACTTACGTTGCTCTTTAACCATGAGTATCACACCCACTTTCATATCTTCATCCATGGTGACTTGTTTCATTTATTAGGTTAAATAATCATCGCAGTGTCTTAAGAAGATAACTCCTTTTCTCTCATTGATATTTATGTAGAACCTTAATAGACCTTGAACGTTTTGCAGTGGTATCAAGTTTGTTTCTCTACTTCAGGGCTTACCAGGGTGATAGTATTAGCCAATTTTTCCCCAAACGTTCCTCAAGTTTTTCTTCAGTATATACCGGGCAGCTGAGTGAAATAAAAAGTGGGGGACCGAAAATAAAATTGGTCATTTCATCCGTCCCTCCGCCCCCTCCCCAATGAAGTAAGCAATGAAAGGCAGCCACTGTCTTTTTTTTAACGCCGACAATATTTTAGAGGGTTTGGACGGGGGGAGGGTACAAATGTCAGTTAAAATTTTGGTCAGTTGTCAGTTAACCCCATCCTGATTTTGGACCTCTCAGATGCAATCTTCAATGCTGCCGACAAAAAAAAACTTCATAGGATAGCCTTCCAAAGGGGGTGGGGGGGGGGGAAGGGTGAGAATAAAAAATGCAATGTCCCAATCAAGCCAGCTACGTACGTTGTTTTTTGTTTCAAACAGACTGAACTTCCCAGAATGCCCCTTCCTTTGTTCGTTTGCGCTTGCAAACATCTTGGCGATTGCGGCAGCCACGATGCTTTGTTTTTTACAATACAAGTAAGTGTAGCAAGGAAAACACGAAAAACTCGCTTCTGCCGCTCGTTTCCAAGCTCCGGGTACTATCTCGCTCATGATTTATTTGAAGAGCCTGGGAGGCGGGTGACGTAGATACCAATAGTTAAGACGTGTACTTTCGATCAAACCTTTTGGTTCAAATTTATGTAAAACTGAGTATTGTAAAAGTGAATTTTTGTCTTTATTGAAAAAGAAATTGGCTATATTTTTTTGGCTACTAATAGATCGTTTTCACTGTCACGCAGTAAACACAGCACAAAAAAAAAATGGGAAACCGTCCTGTGGAAGAAGCCAAGAAAATGAAATGTTATAAAAGACTAATATATAAACAAGTTGTCCAAGTCTCACAGGGGCAGATCCAGGATTTTTTTTAGGAGGGGGTGCACTCGTCTCTTGCTCTACTCCAACACCAATAAACCACATAGTTTTTTTTTTTTTCAGAATACCAGTTGTATTAGAAAACCGCAGGTCATCTCAGAGGGGGGGGGTGCGCACCCCCTGCACCCTCCCCCTGAGATCCGCCCCTGTCTCAGGTCTTTGTGGCCCACAGTTTCTGAGTTATTTGCCGAAATGTTTCACGCACCTTTGTAGAGTTTTGCATGGAAACACCATATTGGTGTACAGTTTTGGTTTTGTACACCGCCGAAAATCAACAAAAACATCTGGAATTCACTTTTTCTATAAAAGCTCTTTCTTTTCACTCGAGAGCTAGCATACGTCCCGGCGGGGAGGGGGGGTTACTTTAGGACTTTTTGGGTGGAGATGTGCCGCTTAAACCCTGGAACCCTTAGCCTATACCAGAGCTAGTTCAAGTGAATTTTGCTACCCTATACTAGACTAAACTCCCGAAATACCCCCTATCCTAGAATAGCTGTTTTCCAGAAACAACTGAGGTCACTAGCACAGTCCAGCCAAAACAAAACCGATTTGATTTTTTTATATTCCTGAGTTGCGATTCCCAGTTTCCCTTTGTCTAGACTAAAATCTTCAGCCAATTGATCAGTTTAAATGGAAAATGATACCCTATTCTAGACCCAAACTCTCTGATTTACATACCCTATCCCAGAGTAACCTGCTTGAAAACCATACCCTTCACAGCGGCACATACCTATATAGTCCATATATGGGAGTACTCCCCCCCCCGCCCGGGGCATACCTGCGCATAAACACATCCAACACTTCACTAGAAATCGTTAAACTGCTGAAAATCAAGAGGAGAGACTTTTTTCAACGAGAAAGCATTCCTATTTTGGTGTGACCTACTGTTGTAAAACTCTGATGTTTAAATTGCTGTATTTTCGAAATGAAACATGCTACGGGACTGGAATCTTGAACAAAGATTTATTTTTTGTTTATCTTCGACTTGGCTGCTGTGTAAATAAGTGAATATTCAGTGTTGAAAATCTGTTCAAATAGCCGATACTGAAGCAAAGCCTCAACCTAAACTTGCGCGATGGCCGTTTTATTCTAAGGAAGGCAATTGAGGGAAAAAACACAATTTTTGCTTAAAACTTTAAATTTTACTGAAGCACTCTGAAAGAGCCTATGGAAGAGGTGGTTTAGATCAGCCTGGAGAAACCACTGCTCGCAGAGTATAAAAACGGCGGAGTGATGTCAAACTGAATTGTTTCAGGTGTATAGAAAAAGAAATTTGTTATATTTTTTCGGGTGACTAAGACATCATTGGAACGAAGAACGATGAATATTAAAGTAGTATTTTACTTTCGAGTTTGAGAGACGAGTCATGATAGCAGGGACAACAGTGAAATATTTCCATCAAAAATCTATTCAAATCTTTACTGAAACTAAGGGTTAAAACTCAAAATTGCTTGGTTTTAATTCATAGTAAAGCTATTTAAGGCAAAAAGGAAGTACCATTTTTGCTTAACACTTTTGTGGGTTGTTGACATAATTTGAATCGTTACAGTTTATAATAATACTATTACAATCAGCTGTAGATATCGATTAATTGCCTGTTAAGTTTACTAAACCAGGTGATAATGTTGTTTGAGTTATTGTAGCAGCAATAGGCGACTTGCACTAAGAGGTCACGTGACCGATGCTTCCTTTAACCAGTGAGTGGGAATCTTGCTGATGCCAAAAATTGACAGAGCACATAAAAATTATCTTACACCCGAAATTTGAGAGGAAACGCATTTAAGGAAGATATTTTATGGCACTTTGATTTTTCAACAAAGCAGTATGATTTGTCAGTTGGCCGCCATGTTGGAGGGCATACTCTTGCCCTCCAATATAGCGGCCAAAACTACTTTTTGCTTATATCTTGTTTAACGTTTGATAGTTACGCTCAGATATGCTGTAAACGTTACCACATCATTTTTTCAACATCCTCCTTGAAGTTAAAGTGCAAGGGGAGTTGTGTTCAGAAAGAAGTAATTCATAATTTTAAAAATCATATTTTGGTCATGTGACGAGCGAGGAACTTACTCATTTTAAGAAAATGGTGCGGGTTTGAAAAACCAAATCACTATTATTCTGTTTAACATATGACCCACTAATCGTTTTCGCCGGCAAAATCATATAGCTTTCATCAGGGGCGGATCCAGGATTTTTTTTAGGAGGGGGTGCACTCGTCTCTTGCTCTACTTCAACACCAATAAACCGCATAGTTTTTTTTTTGCAGAATACCAGTTGTATTAGAAAACCGCAGGTCATCTCTAGGGAAGGGGGGGTGCACACCCCCTGCACCCTCCCCCTAGATCCGCCCCTGTTCATTTTCATTTGTCTAATGGGAATCGTGCGCGGCTCTTGGTATAGGAAGTTGTTTTTGCTTGACAAAACAAATATTTCTGCCAGACTAAAAACAAACAGACTCTTGTAAGTTATAGAGAAGGACGTCAGATCGATTATTCTTCCGCGAAAACACCTGAATTACACTTTGACATTGTTTGCAGAGAAGCAGCAATTTCTGTTGTAGATTTGCATTTCTGACTGAATGCAAATCTACTGGGTTGAATTTTGATCAAGGCAAATGAAATTTAGTTCCAGTTAGCGAGGAATTCAAGTTTCCCGAGTTCGAATTAACCGAGTAAAAATGATTGAAAAGTGGAGTTAAAACCAAGGGATAATAATAACAACAATAAAAATAATAATAATAGTTATAATAATGACAATAAAATAACTAATAATAAGAAAAAGAACTGGAGAGGATCACATAATAATAATAATAATAATAATAATGATAATAACAATAATAATAATAATAATTATAATAATAATAATAGCTAATATACTAAGCAAATTTCATGAAATGTTAATATGCACCCCATGACAATAAAGAATGGATAAAAAATAACAAACCTTAAGACAAAGCTAGAGTAGACTCAGTGAAATCTATCTTACAAACGTAGTTATTGGCCTAAAATGTAACAGTATATAGACTTTGTTAATAACATATTAATCCGTTATCTAAAAGCCCCTTAAAACATTAACAGGCTCA